CAAGACTAGATTTAAACATGAATTTAAATAAAATTTTTGGAACATACTAGAGACTTCAATTAAACTTTTATTATATTTCATCTCCTAGGAGAACCTGGAATTAATTATCGGTTCAACTCACAGTTTGGGTGGAAATCTGAATCTAACAACAAGGCAAAAGTTAATCTACAGAATTACTCGGTCATCAGAATAATGTCGAGCAAATCAGTGTGTAAAAAATGCATAAATCTTGTCAAGGAGAAGATTGCGAACTCGTGCATCTGAGACTTTTCATCAGTACCTAATTAGACTGGCAAACTGAAAATAAGCCGACGGTCTTACCTATTTTTAGCTGCGACAGTCGTTTAGTGGCTAAATATAGGTTTAATTTATTAGCGTGTTATTAAACTCTGCATATGGAAACATGGCGGAGCTCCACTTCAAACAGACCAGGGTAAACGTTCTGCATTTATGTGCTTTTAGCAAAAAGTATTTTAAAAAATATTATATATAAGCGATTCTTCATCTGGTTTGATATTAACGTATCAATTTTATTTATATTGTCTATCAGTAAAAGTTATAACAACTAACTTTTAATAGAACTTAGACATAAGGCTTGTAATTCGATATCGTGTGTAGCTGTTGCTTCTTTGCGATTTACTTATTCTTGTACGAGAGGCATTGTATAAATAGTTCGGAATTACATCACGGGAAGACATTGTAAATTCCTAAGTTTCTAGCATCGAATAACAATTGGTTTTGTTTTATTGTTGTCTGTACTAGTTTATTATTTGGCATTTTTTCAGTTTCTCGTCTCTGACGAGAAATTACAGAAAAACTGAAATAAATCTGGTATGTCAATACCGAACAAAAATTCTATACATAAATCATGCTATCTTTTTAATTTATTTCTCCTGACCGAAATCACCTTTTGTTAGAACGTTTCAATGCTTTGTACATAAACCATTCCTCTCTGATAATCTTAATTAGGGACATAAAATGATGAGCGACCTTACATTCACGGCCAACGTTGTATATCTACTGCGATCGCTCTTCTAGTTTGCCATTATTAACTTTATAGCATGATTTCTCAAGTTTGCTTTATTAGAATAAATATTCCGACGTCAAATAATAAATCTTTTACATGCGATGAGCTTTTTGTTCGTCGACATTAAAATATAGTCCACAATGTAGGTTACAGACTTCAATAATTTACATCATCCAATATTTATGAATCAAATAGATAACATCGTTTACGACAATAAATCTGACTAAATAAAAAAGTCGAAATGTTCAAAAAGTGAGAATACCAGATCACTAATTATATGTAAAAAGGCATGAAAAAAATTTAATAGTGCAAGAAGTAAGAGCGTATCGATGAAAATTTATAAATTTTATAAAACTACAGGAATGTTAAATGAGTCCTATAATGTATGCCTAATTCACAAAATTGAATAGAACGAAAACGTATCTATGATCAATATACATTAACTTCGATGAAAATTGAGTTTATCATAATATGAATACACAGCAAAAGTACTTTCATGTGAACTAAGTTAATACGAAAATGTTAATGAGTAATATACTTGTGTAAGCATAAAATTCATTCACATTCGTTAACTATCTTTTAAATCGCGCACAATCAAGTAAAGGACAATGTCAGTACGTCAATTTCTAGAGAATCACGTGCACTTTGAGTGATAACTTTAAAAAACAAATGCAAAGCTATGCGATACGGTATAATAATTCGCTCCTTAAGCGACATCATAAATTAAAAAAAAAAGTATTTTTAAAAACAAATATATTTAAATATGTATGCGATAGATGCATATTTTTTTTTGCAACAATAAATCAACGAAAATTGTAAAATACATATGTTAATTGTTCATTCTATATGTATACACTTGTATTACCTTGTAGTACACTTGTATTTTATACATAGTTCTAAGAACTCAATCTCAGAAAGTGAAATTTTTTTATAAAAAGAAAATTCCACGTGTAGAACGTAAAATGTCAAAATATGAACTACTGATCCGCTGAAGTCTTACAAGCAGCGAAGTTCCCAATACATACTTATGTATCTCGACAAACTTCGAATCCATGAATGAAATTATTCTGTAAATGTAACCGCGCAGCCACTTAAAGGTCATCGCGACTTCCTTGATCCAAAACGTAATCACTTTACTTCTGTCAGCTGTTAAATTAATTCACAAGCGCAATCATTTCTATCTGACTGTTAAATTACATCGAACACCAGATTATAATATGTTGACCGAAAACTAATAAGCTCAGTCCACTTCAGATTAAGATTTTGAATAACGCCTACATTTAGAAAAAAAAGATATGATTGAAGAAAGTAGACGTAAGTATGATAATCAGGGTCGACGAAATTTTATATAATATTAGCTTTTATCGCAATTGATAAGTAACAATTATGAATAATTTGCGCTCAAAAGAAACTGTTATCCTTATCGCAAGCAGTGGCCTGATCTAGTCAGCTGAGAATGCAGTTTGGCTCAAAGATTGTGTTGTTCGTTGTGCGCAGGGGGTCGAGATAAACTTACTGACCTGATTGCGGAAAATTTTAAAACTGTACATTATTACTAATGTACTCAGTTCATTAGGAAGACGAGTAACTTCATTTCGTACTTGGCAGAATGTTGAGAAATATTATTATCGTATTCAAGAGCATGCATGTAAACTACAATAAGTATGATATATTGAGGATTACAATAATAACGATAAGACAAATAAGACTGAATTTTGGTTTTCTAACTGAATGGAATTATTATAATAGCAATTTTGTATCTATAAATCAATTATTACTGCATACTTTCAAGAAGATATAAAATAATTCTTTAAGGAATGATATATCAAAACTTCATTATACCTCCATCTGGTATTTAACGCAAAAGCAAAGTTGTTGATAATGAAGGATGTGACAATATGTTTCTGTAATTCTGAGATCATACTAGTTACTATTCTGATATGTACTACATGATTAATATAGCAGGTACAACTATTTTCTTTTCTGCTAGAATAAAAATATAAACCAAATGATAGGACATTGCTATTAGTCACGCGATGCAACGAGATATTGACCCAAGCCGAACAAAGAACTATTGCTATCTAATCGTCAGTAATTAATGCACGCGTAAATGCAAATTATAATCGGTAGCCGCTACCGACGCGTACTCACTCCCGGTTGATTTCTCAGGAAGAAAGCTGATATGCACGTGGATCCAATTTTGTCCTTAGTTAGATCAAGTTCCTTCCTTACGAGAACCATGCTCGCTTCGCGTCTAATATAATAATAGAACCGGGGCCCAAGTTATGTGCGTACATATGTATATGTATACATGCGTAAGAATTCTCTTCATTCCACACGTGTACGAGAATCAAACGACTCGTTTCGATCTAGCAGTATCATACGTGACACGAACATTTATACTAGTTATGTATCAAACAATTTTTTGTACCGATAAAACAAGCACATTTTTATTATTGAAGATAAAATATTAATTTGTACACATGACATTGTTTAAAAATGAAGAGTACAGGTGAACTGTTTATTCAAGTTGGTATATTAGTTTTCGACGTAAAGGAAGCTGTAGACAACCGAGATACAAGACAGCTTCACATTAAATGAAGACTAATAAAACAAAGTTCGAAAGAACGGAATAGATGCTTCATTTTTTCCTTATTGTACAAGCACTACGAAAGGATAATATTAAAACGATGTACATACTCTGACGTCAATATCAGTGCAAGATGTGTGGTCATCTAACGTAACAAGATCGTTTCATACGTGATAAAATGTCAGCTGGCAACTGGCAATACGATAAGCTTTCGGTCTGCATAATGTACATCTTTAGAGCTCACGAAATTCTCGAGATCAGCACACACTATTTTCGCACTCTTTCCAAATGTGCATCGAAAGAAACGAAAAAATTATTATCAACGGTTATTATATATAAGATTAGTAAATATGTTTAAAAAAAAGGCAAGATATATGTATCTATTAATATCAGATTTGTCTCATCCTGCATCTGCGTCATTCATCCTACCGTCATAAATCCCCAAAACAGGTCTAATATTATCATACTAATCTGCTTAATTTTCCACCCAGATGTTTCTTCTTCTTGTTTATGTGCATATACATATCGTTTATACGTAAATGATCAAAGTTACGTTATTATATGAGTTAGGCGTCATCACTAATCTATTATTAATTTGATACGCATAAGATACGTGTTGCGTGTATCGTCGACGGCAATTCTTGACGTTTGATGAATGCTCAATGAATAATTGCTGGTTGAAGACTACTTAACAATTTACTGAGACTTTATTTTACAAGATAAAATGTTTCTGTGAGTAGTGTACGAGAGAGAGTTGTTTGCTGTCCAATGTTTGAGATCTGAGTGTGAGTCTATGACGAACGAAGTACTGATTTTATGCTAAAAAAGACTGACTTTTCTAACAAAGAGTTGTACGTCTGGTACAGAGATGCCGGAAAAATTTCAGAAAAACCCAAAAAAGCACGAAGTAAGAAGAAGCTTATTAACCCCTCATAAACGGCCAGAGAAGGTATATGGATTTATCGTCAAACTCTTTTTGTGATTTATGACGCAGTTTGGTCACTGTGTACCTTTTCAGACTCAACAATACGTGTATGTATTCTATCTGCATCGCGATGACCATCGATTGCTTCGCATTATTGGTTCGCCGATGTCATTAAATACCGGTCATAGGACACGTTGGAATTTTCGCGAGAAATTTCGCACACGACTACGCACGTGCATACATAACGTTGGGTTATTAGACTAAAGATTGCAGTGTTATACTCGCGTTGCCACTGCAGTAACAATGATACCTTATATTCGATACGTGATCCCCCATGCGTAATCGTGAAGTTTGGAGTGCGAATGTACGTTCGCGTTTTAAGCTTCCATAATGCCAACGATACTCCGAGTTTTGAAAGTTCTGCAGATACATAGTTTAACGAAACAGTGACGGTCGAATAGTAGTAAATAGCGGAAAATATTTTATTGTCTTGAGCATCTTCTCAAAATTTGCTAGAGATGCTCAGGTAAATCTGTACAGGCTTATCGAAAGTGTGTATGACAAATTGAACAGTTATTATGACCTGTATAGGCGATCGAAGAAATTATGAAAAATCATTGGACGTGCCTGAACCGGAGAAACCTGTGCAGGTAAACCGAAACGTTTGTAACGACGCTCAAGCCACCCATGGAGAAAATGTCCGCTTGTGAATTTGAGATTTGGAATACTTTTATATTTACTACTTTTAAATTAAGTACTTTTAAATTTCCATCTCGTATTGTAAAAAATATCAATCTTTATCGTTATCTAAACACGTTTTTATCATTTTTACAAGGCTACTTATAAATCTCGTCAGCCGAATCAACATTACCAAAGTCACGTTCTAGAGTTACATAAAACATACGTAGATATTTCTTTTGCTTTTTATTCCTCACATGTTCAATTTTCACGCGAAGCCCTTATATGAAATGTATTCAATAATCTCACTAAAAAAGCCTGCAATTATTGTAATGTCGTTCGTTGACATCCTGTTTACAAATGAGACTGAACAGATTCATCGAAATGCATCAATGCACTACTTACACTTACGTACATCCGGTAAATGTGCGCAGACTGGTACGAAGGGTACCTAGGCAGATCTACCTGAGCATGTGTAGCCAGAAAACAGGTAGGACACAGGCAGCAATGTTCCCTAGCCCCTAACTGACAAAACCTATCTATCAATCAACTATCATCCGCCTCTTATGTGATATACATATTTATAGAATAACAATTTTTTAGTAAAATAAAGTATTCCATCGTTTACTCGTGAATACCTACTTATTGCATATACCTGTCCGTTTAAAATAACTGTATGTAATAGAAGTGAATGTACTCACGTTTATTGACGCCAAATGTAATATCGCTGAGTTGTATACTGCGCAGAACATTATGAGCAACAGTGCAAGGATTCGATGGGGCAAAGTCCGGGTCATCGATGTCGAAGGACACACTTTCCTCGAATTCTGTCAAAGTACTCTCCATGGTCTCAAAAATACCAGTCGATCAACAGCACCGGAGGATCTTCAATCTGAAAACGAAAGAAGACTTACGTAAAATGAACTTTTCTTTGTTCTTTGTATAAACATGAATTCTCTGTGTTCATAGTATGACCTACGTATTTATGAAGAATAAAATGATTTGCAAAAATTATTTTTACGAAGCTTTTGTACGATTCATGTTCTTGATAAAATGTAATTCAGATATATGTATTTAAAAGATAGGCTTTAATGAAATATTCGATGACTTTAATGTAGACATGTAATATGTATATTATGAATAAGGACGCGAGGTCAGTCCACGGAGCAGGTCAATAGCTTGTATTATGGACATGCTTTACTTTTGAATTAAATATTATTAGATACCATTACAATAACGATCGACATGCACAGAGTGCGTGCCAGTTAATAAATGCATGCGCTATCTGGGCGCTGTACTTGAGATAAAAAAACGTACTGTAACGTAACTTTTGTTAGACAAATTACGTAACATACTGTGGCCACATGTATGAATAAACTTGCCACGGTAATTAAAATACTTGGTTTGCGTTCACTGCGAAGGATGTTAATATTTCTAATTCTCTTCATCGATGAATAAATCAGCTAAAGACGATTATAAATACGCGCGTGCAAGCATTTACAACATTAAATCTTAAGAACTTGTAGACTCGCGAACATGTGATAATACAAGTAACTACACATGTACGTCTTACACGTGCTAATGATGGTTGATTACTTATATGCATATAGTTCGGTACTGTGTGATCCGAGTTCTTAAATATTCTGCTCATAAATTTGAATATTCAAAAAATTCGCGATACTCAGAATAATCGTGAACAGAAATGGAAAACGAAGAATCGTGTATGAATGTAAATATCTTATTAAAAAATGGGAGGAAGAAAAAACAGTTCGTTCACGCATTGGCACCATGGATCGCATAATTTTTCCCGCACGGCTTGCTTCCTCTCTTTTTCGCCCGTATTTCGATCCCCACTACTATTTTCCTCATGCGCATTCGCTGACCATGCCTAGCATACTCCCATCAAGTACCAGTGCCCACCATGGTCGCGTCGTCCCCACTTTCCGGCCGAGGGAAAAATTATGCGGTCCCTGATTGGCACGTGTTCCTCCATGCTCGCATAAGCATGGATAGATTCGTGGATGAAGCAGAACGAAAATGGCAATTTTTAATGTGCTCAGCGAACGACTTTGTATACTGCGTAACGTGATATGTATCATAACTTCAAGGATCTTTCTTTTGTGATAGAAATCATTTAATTCGTTTTCGAATTCTGTAACGCGTAACGTAAACAGTACATTATGATACTACGCATTATAATCCCTGCTTTTATTTTGCACTTACTCACGATAAGAAATTATCAACTCTTTTTCAAGGATCTATTCATTTACCTGTAATCCACCGTTTGAAGAACGTGTTTACGTGAAACTCTGATTCATATAATTGGTAAATTAAATGATTTTAAATACTAATTAGTATTAATTACCTTTCATATAAATTCCCAGGATGCGAACAATTCCATTCTTGTTTAAAACAATGCACATTATTGAACAATTAGCAGAATCGAATGCATCGATTAAACAATGAGAAACAATTCTGGCGCATAAATGTTGTTCCATATTGAATGACACGTTCGAATGGTATACAGAGGTAAGTATTCTATATACTGGCAGTTATTACGTATCAGAGGAAGTACTTATCATAATCGAAATTACGATTTGAAATGAAAAATGTGTAAGATCTCGTACCGGATTACAAAAAAGTATTCGTCACACAAGAATAAACATTTCCTTCAAGTTATAAAAAAGTCGCATGTCTGAGTATTCAGGAAAATGCCGATCGTAAATATCAATACAGAATATAATTTAAAAATATTCAACACTCACCAACGAAATTTTAGAATTTTAGAACAACATAGATCTGAATAGAGCAATAATATATATTGTACTCTTAATTTTCACAGTTTACATTAAATATTTTAAATTGTTAAATACTGATCTGATATACTAATTTGAAAATATATAAGTAATAAATCGCGTATACGTGCAACAAATGTTATCTGACAACAAAGAGATGTACACTTTATCTTAAATTGTAAGGAAATCAGGATGTTATATGTCGAAATATATGAATAAACTCGTACCTGTTTATTGTTCCTGCAACCAGTTGATTCTCTCGAACTACCCGACTCGTTAACACTGAATTTTCTAAGTATATATTCCCGATAGAATGTACGGGACGCGTAGGAATGACACGTTCCTACGAACTACACGTACCGGTCGCTGATGGACGACTGACAACGACAGCCTAACGCGCTACTAAGCAACAGTTTTTATCACGCATTCATAGTGTAAACATTTGAAAAAAATATGGTTACCGTTCCGCACTAATTATGTTATCAAACTTTACATATGTATTTACACCTATGATTTTGTGTCGTTTAATTTCCAACGTTCGTTCAATTTCGAATAACTTGATAATAAAGAGGAAACGATTCGATTAGTAATTTGATCTTGTGATAAGATCATTTTCCACGATATCCTATCTCAAAAAAATAATTTTCACAAACGTCACATTTCACAGAATTCTTATACTACCGGAAATGAACAGTAAATAATTTCATATAGAGCATTTCGACACAGGTAGATTTTGCCTAGACGCAAACAATCTTTTATAGAATAAGGAAGTTATGGAACAAATAGTTGAGGAACATGTCTTTTACTTTCATAGTTCGTGACATAAATGGAAGCAAGAGGAGGGAGATACAAAATCACTCTTTTTTGCCATGAACCCTTTTGAACATCATAATAATATTTTTTAACTGAAAAATTATTCTGTAAAAAATGTTCGTTACAAGTATACAAATTTGAAAATCGTCTATGAATTCCGATGTATGGTTTCGATTGCGATTTGCAATTCAAGGAACTTGGCGATCTAGGAAATATAATACATATATAAAAAATGCTTAATCTGTTACAATAATGATGAAAATAACATTTATTAAAATTAATATATTCTGTACATTACAATATATATTTATACTATAATATGCAAAATATATTCTTATATACATTTGCCATACTTAAAAATTATAAAGTGTAATCTCTGTCCAAGTAGGCAGCACACCTGGAAATATTCACAAGATTCAGTTCTTCATTAAAATCTGCATACACGTACAAAGATCTACATCTAATATATTTCTAACTTATTTTCTTTAACAATAATCTACATTACTCATAAAGCAATATTCTATATATTAAATATCCAGTCAGTTTTCGACTTTATTTTTCGCAATGCTCTTTCCACTTAATATTCTATGTCCTATCTACTAAGTTCTAGCAATACTCTGTATCATATCTATTACTCTGTAGCAATACTCTATAACAAATCTATTAGTTTTTCAACAATACTCCGCAACATATTTGTTTTACTTTAAAACAATACTCTATGATATATCCATATTTTTTATCAATACTCTGTATCATATCCATTACTTTTTAGTAATAATCTGTAACACGTCCATTTTTTAGCAATACTATGCACTATATCCACTTGATTGTATAGTAACAGTCTGTATCATATCTACTAATTGTAAGCTATCGCAATATCCTGTATTAAATCTATTCTTTTTAAGCAATACTGTTTATCATATCTACTACTCTAATGTAATATGTATATTCAAGTTTGAGAAATTCTCTGCGAAATATTTTATATTTTAGCAGTATTCTGTATCATAGTTACTAGATTTTAACAATACTCTGTATCATATCTCTTATAGCAATACTCTATAACAAATCTATTAGCTTTTCAACAATACTCTCTAACATATCCGGTTTACTTTTAAGCAATACACTGTGACATATCGACTTTACTTTTTAGCAATGCTCAGTAAAATATCCACTTAATATTCTGTATCTACTAAGTTACAGCAACGTTCTGTATCATATCTATTACTTTATAGAAATACATTGTAACAAATATATTAAGTTTTTAACAATACTGAATATCATATCCATTACTTTGTGGCAATACTCTGTAACGTGACCATTTTTTTAAAAATACTCTATATCATATCCATTATTTCTTAGTAATATTCTGTAATATGTCCATTTTTTAGCAATACTCTGTACCATATCCAGTTGAATTGATAGCAATATTCTGTATCTTATCCATTAATTGTAAGTTTTAGCAATATCCTGTATCAAATCCATTTCTTTTGGACAACACTCTTATCATATCTACTATCTTTTTACCAATACTGTCATATCTAATACTTTTTTAACAATACATATTCTGTACCATATCCTAATAACATATTTTAGTTATATAATGTGATATATCCATTTGATCTTTTAGCAATGCTCTGTAAAATATACTCTTTGTATTTTAGCAATTTTCTGTATCACATCTACTAATCATTGACAATACCCTGTATCATATCTATTACTTTCTGGCAAAACTCTGTATCACATATACTAGCAACATACTGTATCATACCCATTGCATATATAATTTTATATGCACAGCTGTACTTCATGTAACATATGTCTTATTTGTACAGCTATACTCTGTATTATACCCATACCCATATTTCATCCTGTGTCATTTCTATTTTAGGAATGATCTATATCATATCTGTATTATTTTAATACAGCAATATCATACACCATATCTATGTTATATATTAATGCTTTATAAAATATCCATACTACTTTTTACAATACACTGAACATAATTTTGTAACTTTCGTGAGTAGCTTAGAAATTAACACCTTATA